ATAGGAATGGCAAACAGTAAATGCAAAGTTTTAGAGGAAAGGAGTCTCCAGCCATCTGCAGGATGTGTTCTAGCTTTGTGAACATGTTCTTAGGGTCTCTGAATCAGATAAAATAGGTATCTGTGGAGACCTGGGCCCATATTGCCTTAGGGTGGGGGAGCAGGGAGAAAAGCATTGGCTTGGGGAGGAAGAATACATATTCTAGAGCAAGGAAGAGTTATGAAGTCATTGTGACTCATTTAAAGTAGGTGGGCTTTTATTTTTTTTTAAAGGGAGCTAAAATCATTTTGCTATTTTTCAACTAATTTTTTATGATCTTTGTGTCATTCAGAGAACTTGGAAACATTCATCGTCCTCCTACTGAATCTGTAGAGTAGGTGGGGAAGCTTTAAAAAGCTCCCAAAGACCCGCTTTCCTCTGCCTATGGGTGCATTTGCAGGATGCTGGGCACCGGAATGAGAGGCCACTGCAGCATGAAGCATTCTGGAAGCTTCAGTGGAATTCAAGATTTGGGGGTGTTGGTACCAATTACAGCCTTAGGGGATTTGTTCTGGAAAAAAGGAAGTTGTTTGCAATGTCATTTTGCATAGTACCAAGTCATTTTAAATAAAATAACCATGAAACTTAAAAATGAAATAGATCCTTACTCTGATTTGTTCTTTTCCCAAGTTGGTCAATGTCAAGACCGGTTGGGGATTTGCTCTCTGGACTCTGTCAGTGGAGAAGTTTGAATTTGTGGAAGCAGAAAAGTGAGTCTGCAGGGAGCTCAGAAAGGAATTTGGACCTTGGATTTAGAACAAAGAGGAACCAGGTTTGGAGCTAGGTGGCATGAAATTTGGTGTATTTTGAAGGAAACTAAAGAGTCCTAAGGCACTAAAATGGGAGATGGTCAAACAAAGTTTTCCTAAAACTTAAAAATGACAACAAAAAGGCAAAACAAAATGACATGGATTTTGTCCATCTCTAGGTTAATGTAAAAACAAGGTAAAAATTAAGTGATGTACTATTAAGGAGAGACGTGTGGTACTGTAAGATTTACCATGGGAGGCCCTGGTGGTCCAGAACAGGTTGATGTTTGCTAAGAATAAGGATGGCTAAGATAACTTTGGCAACAGCCAGTATAGCTCTGTATTTTGGGGATGGCATAGAGAAAAGCATGTAGATGAAGGGGAGGTTTGGGTTGTTGCATAATCTGCTGCAAGTCTTGTAATATTTTTTGGAGCAGGAAACTAGAGGAATGAATATCTTGTGTAGACTACAGTATAATAGAACTGCAGGAGAAATGATGAATTGCTTAAAAATTGAGGGCTACTATGTCAGGGCAAATCATGGCTTGAGCATTTCCTAGATTTCCTCTCCCACCCATATTCTCAATTTGTATTATAGCTCAAGTGGAAGATTCTTAGGATTCAGGGACTCTTGACCCTCTCATTTTGTTGAAGTATGAATTGCTGCAGGCCTTGCAGTGAGGAAGGCTGACCTTACCGAGCTAAGGGTTTCTCTGGTGCTGGCTCTCTGAAGGTCACCTGGTGGTGCACAGTGGTATCAGGGAAGAGATTTGGCCAGGATGATCCATTCAGGGAAGCAGCCTAGTCTGATCTGTCATCTTTGTGGTACATGGCATTTACTTTGCCTTTCTTGATGTGGGACTGCTCAGGCTGATACATGACCACAAAATGGAAATCTGGAAAGAGTAGTGTTCATCTGGCTTGGCTGGTTTTCACATACTGCATCAATCTGCAGTGTCCTGCCCTTTGATGGGCAGGAAGCACCTGATCTGAGTGGAGCTGTTCCTCGAAGGCCATCTTAGTGATTGGATGCCCCAGGTCCTTTGTCTGCTAAAAGCAGCCTGCGTTGGTGTATGAAGTTGCTGCTCTGCTGCTGAGATTGGACGGCCTCCACTGTGTATCTGGCGGTATTGCCACTGGGTGTCCAAAGGGCTGTTGCAAAGATGAAGATCCTTTTCTTTCGCTTACCCAGTTACCATTCCAGCTACTGGTATTCTGTTTTTATTTATTTAAATAAAAAAGGAGTTAAGTGATAGTCATCATAATGCAATACAGAGTGAATAATTATACTAAGAATGTGTAACTCCTCTGAAATCTGGATCCTTGAATCTTTCCTGGAGGATCCTTAATTAATGGCCTTAGAGTGATTTTTTTTTCTGGCCTCTGGGTGAAATATGCCTTCCATTAACTGGGCATTGGAATCACCTGTGGGAGGCTTTTAAACTATGCCAGGGCCTCCAAACCAAAGATTCTGTTTTAATGAGCTAGGGACCTGGGGAAATTGTTGTTGCGTCAGTTCTCCAGGTGATTCTAGTTTTCAGCCAGATTTGGGAAACTGCCCACCAGTTACTCATATGAGGAAGTCTTCACATAATTTTGGTGGACTCTGCCACATCATTTGCTTATACTGAACTCTCACCATTGACTTTACGTATTTGGCCTTTACTCCTCTTTAAGCCCCTTTCCTAGTTTTGTTTTTAAACTGCTTTTTCTTGAATTTGCCTCAGCAGAGCAGTGACTCATCTCTATTATATATGAAGAATACTTAACCTAGGATTTTGATGGGTAGATATTCTGGAACATTTTCTCATGAACATTTTGCTTGAGGCTTGAATGCATAGTACAGTAGTTTCTAGCCGTCCTGTGATGGGAACAGACCAGGCGGTCTTAGAATGGCAAAAGGAGCAATCATTTTTTGTTGTCTTTTTTATCATGAAAGGCTCAGGGTTTCTATTCCCATATTTCTTGGGCTGTGTGTACTCTGGGATGACATTGATTGACCTAAGGAGTCTTAAGTAGGCATTGGCAGGGGGCAAGCCTGATTGGTTGTATTGTTGATACGGGCACTTGGTGAGATACACTTCCAAGAGTGGGCGTGCAGCACCATACATCAAGTCCCAGCAGATCCTAGGTCATGTGGCATAAAGCAGGGGGTTTTAAGATACAGAGTAAAGGCCATGCATGGTGGCCTGTAATCCCAGCACTCAAGAGGCTGAGGCAGAAAGATTGCTGGGAGTTTGAGGCCAGCTTTGGGCTACATAATGAGTTCAAGGCCATACTGAAATACATAGTGAGACCCTCTGTCAAAATACAAATAATAACAACAAAAAAATCTTACAAGAGATTGATAACAGGACTGTATTGGAGTGGCTGTTCACACCTCCTTGCTTCTGCCTATTTTGTTCCATAGCTTGTGACCTCCATTTTCTCTCTTATCATCTTTCCTGGTCAACTCCCACACAAGTTTTAGGATTTCCTCAGGCCTGTGTCCATGCTAGAAAGTGTCCTTTCTCTCTGCTGCATTAGGTATCTTTGCTCATGCTCCTTAACAAATGTGCATACTCCAATCATTGCACTTACTCATTGTTTTGCTAATTGTTTGGAGTTTCTGTATGTGTCTTTTATTCAAGAAGAGCAATTTAAGGGTTTTCTTCACTTTTGTATCTCCATCACCTCACATGTTGTCTGGTGTATAATAAGATTCATTTAATATTTGTTGAGTGAATGAGTCAGTTCATTGAAGGGGTGATATAAATAACTGCTGCCGTCTTAAAGTTGAACATTGCTCATTTATTACAGAGCTCATACCTTATAAGCTTATTTACAGTCCTATTTTTAGGGCACATATGTATTAAGGGAGATTTTTTTTTCTAGCATACAGTGTTTTAGGCAGTTCAGTATATTGAATTAAGCACTTTTGAATTAGTAGGTGCATGGCATTTGCAGGTTTTTAAAAAAAAAATTTTGTACTTAAAGCAGTGAAATTATTGAAGTGTCTGTCATACTGGGAAATAAACCATGAGGCAATCTGGTATAATTGGTCATATTCTTTCATGACACAAAGGGAGAACAAACATTATAATAGAAAGTAGGTAAGATGATTCATCTCTGTATTCTTTTTAATACTTCTTTTATAGATAAATATTAATTTTAAGACACACATATGTATGTATATATTTATTATACTTAGTTTTGGATTCATAATGCAAGACTACTGTAAGAGCTCCAGAACCAATAGATAGTAAAAGAGGCCTATATTGGCAGTCAAGAGACCTGGGTTCTAAATAAGCTCAGCTTTTAACGAAAGGAGTGGGCAGGTCAGTTTCCTGTCTGCATCTAACTTGTAGGAAATTGGAGTGTTGTACATCTTTGGGGGTTACAAGTGTCTACAGAGTAAGGCTACTAACTTAAGGTATTCTATGTGCTCTACTATTTTTTCCCTTAGAACATGGCCCCTTTTTCTTTAGTTTTTTCACTTTTACTAGAATCATAAGTAAAGGATGATATATCAATAGTATAGAAACAATAATATAAGGGTCATGATAAATGACAACCACAGTTCTTCTTTGTGTTGAGGAAACCATAGGGCATGGTGGGGATGATGGTATTTTACAACATCCAAGCCTGTCTGTGAATGGGCTGCTGCTTAGCACCAGATAATCCTTATCAGTGTCAGACACTGTTATAGGCCATTTCTTTTTGGTACTGGGGATGGAACTCAGGACCTTGCACTTGCAAGGCAGGTGTGGCCCTACTGAGCTAAGTCTCAGGCCCGACAGACATCTTTTTTTTTTTAAGAGAAGCTAGAAGTCTAGATTTTTATGTGACTTTTAAGTTTGTGCTTTTTTCTGTGATTTTAAAGTTTGGGCTCAGATTTTTTGGGCACATAGCTGCAGATGAAATGTCATATGTCTGTAAGCTAGATGTGACTCACTGTGCTTTTAGTTTGTGATCCTTATTAAAGATGGTGTCTGATGCTCCTTTCTGCCTAAGATCCTATAATTCTAATGGAGATCATTTCAGTGGGTGAACTGAAAATTGTTGTTCTACTCTGAGAAGTGAGAGTGGGAAAAGGAGTTGGACTGGAAGAGAAGAAAGGGGCCTTTGAGCCTAAATGGGATACTTGGCAATTGGTTTGGGTGGATTTCTCTGGGGTCAGGTCACAGGATGCTTGCGATTCATGGCAGGTGTTTTATGTATTTGTCATTGCAGGAGTTGGCATCCATTGGATGAGTCTGTGAAACCTCTCTGCCCAGAGCTCCAGGACCAATGTCTCTTCCCACCACCTTAAACCACTGGTGAATACATGTACTTTTTTCTGTCTACTGCCATGAATGGAACTATTTTCAGGTGACTGAAGAGTGTGATTTGCAGGAACCATACTGTCCTTTCCCTTACATAAGAGAGGACACTGGGATGGGCCTAGGCATATCTGAATTCTGTCACTTTTACTGTAGAATCTAAAGTAAATTATTTGACCTCTCCTGGTCCCATCAGAGAAATGTGTCTTTTCCTGTTGACATTGCAGGATTGTTTAACTTTGGTTTTGTTTTGTTTTTTGACACAGGGTCTCACTATGTAGTTGAGACTGACCTGGAACTGTGTAGCCCACCCTGGTCTTGAACTCACAGTGATCTTCCTGCTTCAGCCTCCCCAGTGCTGGGATTACAGGCATGTGCCGCCACGCTTGGCCTAGGATTACTTAACTTTGAAGATTAAAAGAGATAATATATGTGAAAATGCTTCAAAGAGAATGAAATACTGGAAAAATATAATGGCAAATACTTGGCTCTGAGATGTAGTGCAGGCTACCTCTTCCTATCACTTTATTAACTTAATGCTTTTTTTTTTTTTTTTTTTTTTTTTTTGCGAATTCAGGACCTTGTGCTTTCCAGGCAGGCATCAGCACCACTGAGATAAATCCTCAGCCCCCTTAACAAAGTTTTTAATCTGGAGTCCCACAAGTAGGAAGAAATAGCTTCCAAACCCAGCTGGCCTCAGTAGACCACCAGTTGGAGGTCCTACCTTTGTTTTTGTAGTGTTTGTAGATGTCTTCCTGTACTAAAGCCATGAGAGAAGGCAACAAAGCAGGGCATATCTAAGTCAACTAGTATATTAAAATGTGAATATTATTCTTACATACGTGTATGTTAGAAATGATTTTTAAATACGTATTTTTGGGGATCTCCAGAATATTTCAAGAGATTTTCATTTTTTGTTCCTATAGCTGCTGTTGTTATTATTATTATTATTATTATTCTTTCTTTATTTATTTTTTGGTATGGGGGATTGAACTCAGGATCTTGTGCTTTTGAGCACCGGAACCACTGAGCTAAATCCCAGCCTAGCTGCTGTTTTTTTTTTTTTTTTTAATAAATTAGCTGCATTTAACAGTTACCTTTGTTTTTATATGAGATTAGATCATTTCAATTAACAAAATTTTTAAGGGATATAATTAGTCATCAGAGCAGGTAAACACCTTGCTTCCATGGCAAATGAAGGAGGCAAAAAGTATGTCCTTAACAAATTGTGTTTAGTTCTAAGTGTGAATAGGTGGAGGGACAGTACCCTGTTGATGGTGAAAGTCTCATGTGAACTTTGAAGGGGCAGGACTACCGTGAACTGGGGAAAAAATGTAACCCATGCCCCTTAATTCCAGAACTTTTTTTTTTTTGAGAAAAACTAGCCTGTTTAATGATGATTGCTTGGTCAGTTCCCACCAGGTGGGTTAAGTTCTCTTATGATCCAGTGAGACAAATCCTAGTACCAAAATCATGTGGGCAGCTTGCAGGGCACTCTAGTGGTAAGGAATAGCAGTCAGACAGGACCAGTAAGTCTCGAGTTAGGGGACTTAGGGAGCCAACTCAACTGCAGAGTTGGCATCCAGACTTTTCTGAGGGGGCATGGTGGACATTTTGGCTCTCAACCTGGATCCCAGCTGATAGGAAGGAAGAACTCTGACATAGCTGGCGTTCTCCTGGAAGCAGAGTGCTGCACATGATAGGACATTTCATCCACTCAGCAGATGTATCGATGCTTACTTGGTGTCAAGGTACTGCTCTTGGCACTAGGGATTCGTTGGCCACAAGATGGACTGTGTGTCCTTGTCTCTTGGAGTTGAGGTTTTAGTGAGGATGACAAACAAGAATGTGAGCTTTATAGGGACTGGGATCTTTGCTTGTCTCATTCACTGCTGTAGCTCTCAGAATACCTTGCATCTTATAAATGCACACCAAGTTCTTGTTTCTGAATGAAGCAAACAAATAACTGAGTAGGAAGTGTAACTTCAGGTAGTAATAAGTGCTATGGAAAAATGAAACAAGATGAACTAGAAGGGTTGTTTTTGAAATAATCGGAAAGGAACTGGGGAAGAGTGTTTAGGCAAAGGGAACAGTAAGTAAAAAGAAAAGAAGGCCTTTGATGTAGGATGCTCTCCGCATGATAGAGGAAAAGGAAGAGAGCTAGTTTGGTTGGATTTGGCCTGGAGGTAGCTATAGGGAGGGAGAGTGGTGTGAAGTGAGATCAGAGTTATAGATGGAGCCAGAGAGTATAGGCTATGATAAGAAGCAACTTCCCCCACTCTCACCCCAGCACAGGCTATTAAACCAAGTGCCTTCGCACTGAGCTACATCCCTTTCCTTTTCTTTGTGCATCTTTGCAATATATAACGTTTATATTCCTTGTGTGGAGTTGGTACATGTACATATCACATCCCAATTACTTTTTTCATCCTCTTTTCCCTCCCCTTCCCCTCCTGTCCTTCCTTTTGAGGCAGGATCTTGCTAAATTGTCGGGGCTGGTTTTGAACTTGTGACCCTCAGATCTCAGCCTCCCAGAGTGCTGGGATTACAGCTTTGTACCATGCCAACTCTTGATTTTACTCTCAAGAGTGATTGAATTCTACTGGAGAAGTTTGAATACAATCGTTGATGTGATCTTCTTTCTGCTTTGAAATCATTCTTCTGGATCTTGAGTGGAGAATAGACTTTTTGAGAGCGAGAGAAGAATTGGTGTAACCTATAGGAGGCCCTTGGAGCAGTTTAGGCAGGGAATAAGAGTGTGGCCTGGCTCAGGGTAGGAATAATGAAATGGCTCAGAATATATTTTGAAAGGGGAACTGGCTGGATTACATGTGGGGTGTGAGGAGTCAAAGATGAGTCCAGCTTTTTTGGTTGGGCAATTGATGTTGCCATTTACTGAGGGAATAAAGAGGCACCATACAAATTCTGTTTGAATTTTGTTGATTTTGAAATGCCCATTTGTGGTATCATAGAAATGTAGTGTTCACTGGAGCTAGCAATAGTATGTTTGAGAGTTATCAGCACATAGATGTTATTTAAAGCTATGAGGTTGGATGAGATCTTTTAGGGAGAGAAAGGAGGGCATATGTAGAATTTTGACAGAGAAAAGAAAGGAAGCAAAGGATGGATTTTCCAGATAAAACTGTCTACTAAGAAATTAAGACACACTAATGAATATGTATGATTTCATTTTAGGCAAATATGAATTATACAAAATTAGATAATGTGATATAAAAGTAGGAACAAAGCCTCACCTTGTAAAAAAAAAAAAATTTGAGCTGGCGAGGGATTTAGCTCAGTGGCATGGCACCTGCCTTGCAAGTGTAAGGTCCTGAGTTCGATCTCTGGTACCTGGAAAAAAAAATCTGACATACTTTGATTCCTCCAAATCAAGAAAATTAGTTTAGAATTGCATACTTTTAAATCTGGTCAGTTGAATGAATTATAAACTGCATTTGTGCAGTTGTCACATGTCTTTGGCTGGCAAGCACAAAAGCCTAGCATCCTTTGCCAATAACATGTAAACTGCATTGCGCTTTATGAGCTGGAATTTCTGCAAGGTATTTTAATGGCTAAGTTTGATTTGCTGTTCATACATTTCAGATTTTTTTCACTCTATAATTATATCATCGAAAAGTGCATTAACTGAGGGTTTACTAAATGAAAAACATGTCTGAAAATTTTGCAGTGAAAGTTAGATGGGATATGATTCTATGAAGAATACAACACAGGCACCATGTTTTCATGCTTTGTAGAGGCACAATTTAAGATATATTGAGGGTATCTTCAAAATATCAAGGGTGAATGTTACAAGGTAAAAAGCAGAAAAAAAAAATCCCACCCAAACAAAAAACAAAACAAAAAACCCACAGTAAACACAAATACAGTGGTGGTTGTAGTAGATGCATACATTTCACATACCACTCATAGCCCTCAACCACTGTTGATTGATAGGAGAAAATCAGTTCTGAATCATATACATTTTCATCTATTTCTAAGCTTTTGGCATAAAATGTAGCTGCTCTGTATTGATTTTGTCCATTTGCCAGACCCATTGCCCTACTGAACTTTTTCTACTTTCTCACTGGGCTTAACTTTCCCTTTCCCCGTTTCAGGCTTCTTGGTTACTTTCTTTAGTTTTGCTGCCTCCAGAAGTCTTGTGTGCTCCTCACCATTATGAGCTCAAAAGCCTGATGCTTCCTTCCTCTGAGTGAATGTGTGAACCTTTCAGTTTAGCCCCACCTCCAAGTCTTTTGGAGATCCCCAAAATATCCTTCTTTGGAAACATTTGACTTTCCCCACTCCACCTGGTCTACTCAGGCCTTTTGTGGAAATTATGACAAAAGAATGGGAAACTCGTGCAGCTTTGGAGGAGAGGATGATAAGAATGTTCTAAATTGAGGTGTTTTGGATTCTTTGCACAATACACAGACATTACTTGCTTTTATATGTGTTTCAAGATTTCTAGTTTTCAGTGAAATATGAGTGGCAGTTCTGGAGTATCTACTCTGGGAAATGAGCATCGGTTGTGTAAAGTTTTGTGTCTATAACCAATGGGTTTATGGTACAGTGAAGGTTTCAGTGGAATGAGATTCATGACAGTTGGTATCAACTCTAGTTTTCCTTTGTCTTCTTTTCTGACAGAGTAGAAGATAAATAAAAATTTAAAAGAATGATACTTTACTTACTGGCAGTTGAGGATTTCTGATATCTGTTTCCTTCTTCAGTAAGTAAATAAAAGAAATTAAAAGAAAGAATGTGACCTTCCCATATCCCTGGAGACTTAAAGTAAGGGGACATTTAAAAAATGGTGGCATATTTTGGCAACTTTTAGAGAGGGGCTGCTTTTTTGAATAAAGGGATATGCACTAGTCTTTGAGGGGCCAGGAAAGGAATGTTATGGGTCATGTCTAGATGTGTCCCCAAAGTTTCATGCAGTCTTTTTTGGAGGTGGGTGAATCTAGAGGATGTGATGCTATGTTTAAGGGTGTGTATTA